GCTGCAGGGTTTGCGTTGCTGACCCTGTGCTTAGCCACCCAACATGTAACCTCACATGCCAACAGGGCTCCAAATTCCAACATCTGTCTTTGAAGGGCAGGGTGTACAGGCCGAATGGTCCACAGATGCAAGGATGGTGAGACCTGATGCCGTGAACTTGAGACATGTTGTCAGGAGAGACCAGTCCTGAGAAAGGACATCATGCTTGGTAAATTAGAGGCAGTGAGTAAGACAAAAGCCCCTTTGACAGTGGCTGCAACGATGGGCTCAGACAGAAGAACACATGTGAGGATGGCTCGGGGCTGTTCAGTTTCGCTCTGTTGGAGATTGGGTCCCTATGAATTGGAACCATCTCAATGGCACTTAACAACCACTCCATAAACAATGTTTCAAGGACTAAATGAAGTGGAATCCTGTACATAAGGTGCTGGGCAAAGTATCTGGCATGACCTAACTCCTGATAAATGTCAGTGTTATTATGTTTGTTGTTGTTGCTATTCCTAACAATAAAGGATCCTCATCTTCAAAGCAAGTATGGAGATAAAAGTGTAACAAGAACTTCCAAGATCATGTTGTCAGTACTACACCCATGTCAAAAGGGCAGAACCATTCAGGAGATCTGGAGAGGCTTCCCCAGGGAAGGAATGGTAAGTGTAAGCCTGACAGCTTTCATCAGATGGCCAAGTGGGGAAGAGTGTTTTGGAGAGAGAGATCAGTACAGAGACTTGGAATGGTGGACACACATGGTGGAGTTGAGGACGATCAGCTGATCTAATATGGCTGGTGTGCAGAGGGATTAAAGACAGAAATGATATAAAGGTTGCCAAAATAAATTTCCGTTTGCTCCCAATCCAATGAGGAGCGATGACAGAATTCAATGGCCACCCTTTCCAGCTTCACAAGGTGCTTATCGCCCCGGCCGACAGGCCCTCTGCACTAGCATGGAGGAGCCACTTCCTGAAACAGCTCCACTTTAGGGCTTAGGAGTCTTCAAAACTGTTTGAGTGTTATGATTTTTACTGTAATGTGAGGTCTTTCACTTTCTTAACTCAACTCTGTTGTCAATTTGAGATTTACGAGTGAAGGAGTGGAGGTTAGCCTGTCAATCAGATCACAGCTTGATGACCTCATTTGGAGGTGCTAAGGAAATACATAGTTCATTGGAGGCGGGACACATGCTCACTCCATGGGAGACATTGCAGCTGACAAGACACATGGAGCTACTCTAGTGCCCTGAGCTGGTGGTGCCATGTGGAGACCCCTGCCAGCACTGAGATGCTTGCAAGGCCACTGAATCCACAAGACTTTCCACCCACTGGCCTGTGATCTTCCAGTATTTGGCGTCATTGCATGTGTTTTGTGAGTCTGAAGAGGACTTTATAGATTGGTATCAGGCATATGAGTTAATATCGTACTTATGGACTTGATCTGAACTGAGCTAGCATATTTTCTTAATGTACAATTACTCTTTATATAAAACTCTTTCTTATACACATATGAATGTCCATGAATTTGTTTCTCTAGTTTACCCAGATTAACACATAAGGGGACAGAAATAGGGGGAAATGGCATCTCTTGGCTTCTCTATGATACAGAGGCTATTTTTGGAATGGAGAATAGCAACACTGAGTTTACAGTAGACAGTCCCATCTACCTGGATTGAGGCTAACTGCACTTAAATTCTGTATTTTGATATTATTAATATCGGGTTCTAGCATGGCAGCTTGTGAGGATATCACAGGATTGGGCAGTGTTTTGTTTGGTTGTACGTAGGGTTGCTTTGGGTTGGAACCAACTTGAAGGCACCTAACAACAAAAGCAGGGCCCAGGCAGTGGTGTCTTTTACCGTATGCCTAGATTAGGGTGGGTGGGCAGTAAGAAAGGCTGTGGCCCTTCTTCTCTTACATCTTGGGGTGCTGTAGAAAGTATTCAGTCAAGTGGACTTTCCTCGTATCAGTTAATATGAACTTGCTATAAAAGGAAAGGAGAAAGAAGTAGCAAGCAAGAAAGGTTACTGTCAAATCATTTTTTTAACACATGACAACCCCACATGAATTAAAAAGAGAGGAAAGGAAAAGAGGGTGAAGGAGAGAGGAAGAGGAGAAAAGGGAAGAAGAATATGTCCAAAGAGCCCTGAAGAAGATCTAGCATGTGCATTGTCCAGAAAACCAAGATAAGGTGGCATGGCCTTTTACATTTGTTTAATTAGGACTAAAATTAGAAGAAAAAGAACCTTCAGATGACTTATCAGAGACATTGTTTCTCTACACCAGATATTGAATAAACTTGGTAAGTTCTTGGCTTTTCATATTTTCACATAATACATTAGGAAAAATCATGGGATTTCCAATCTTCCTAGAAAATACTTGAAATGTTTCTGACAATTTGTGAAAACTGGATAGTGTGGCATGATCTCTGACCATCAGGAACCCGATGGTCAGCTTACCTACAGTAATTATAGATGCTACTGTGGATAACAGCTTCGGCTTTAAAGTAGCTGCTAGGTTTTTCTATTGCACTGTTCAAAGCCACTGCAAAAGAGCTCTTTAAAGTGTCAAAAAGCGGAGATGTCACTTTGAGGATATCCCACATCATGTTCAGTTGTCTCACATGCAAGCAAATACTGGATAGTTCATTAGGAAGACTGAAGAAGAACGGAGATGCATTGAGACGCATAGTGTTGGAGAAAAATACTGAACACACCACGGACTATCAGGAAGACAAACAAATCTCTCCGGAAGCAAGTCCCGCCAGAGTCCTGCTAGAGGCAAGACTTCCTCTCTTGGACAGAGCATTAGAACCATTCCCTGGGAGAGGGCATTGTGCTTGGAAAAGCAGAGGACCAGTATGAGAAAGAAAGACCCTCAATGAGATGAATTAGTACTAGCTGTAGTGAAGGGCTCCAGTATAGGAAATATTGTGAGGATGGTGCAGGGCAAGGCAGAGCTGGGTTGTGTTGCGCACAGATTTGGGTTAGGTTGTACACAGAGTTGGGTTATATTATATACAGGGTTGTGTTGTGTTGTACACAGAGCTGGATTGTGTTGTACACAGGGTTGGGTTGTGTTATACACAGAGTTGGGTTGTGTTGTACACAGTTGGGTTGGGTTGTACACAGAGCTGGGTTGGGTTGTTCACAAGGTTGTGTTGTGTCGTACACAGAGTTGGGTTGTGCTGTACACAGTTGGGTTGGGTTGTACACAGAGCTGGGTTGAGTTATACACAGGGTTGGGTTGAGTTGTACACAGAGCTGGGTTGGGCTGTACACAGGGTTGCTAGGACTTTGACCCAGCTCAACAGCACTTAACAACAGCCCCTATATTAAGTGAGCAACGCAATCAGAGGAGTTCTTGCCTCCTGCTCTTTCCTGCCCTATACATTCCTTTTGCTATCAAATTCCTCGGTTCTTGGCTTTATTTATTTATTATTATTTTTCCTATCATCTTTTCTCTTGTTCCACACAGAACTGATAAGTAATTCCAACACACTTTTGATTCCAAGCTGTTCTTGGAAAAGAGTTCTATAATTGAGATTTTTCCAGTTCTTACCCAACCTGCCACAAAAGAGCTTGTTACTGCAACTGCATTCAATTTCTATTGTTGTACACTGTTTTAATGGCATGGAACGTATTTAATAACACTAGCCATGAAAAGAGTTGCCAGGTAAAATGGACCAACTGTGGTGGTCGGTACCTTTTTGAAGGTTGATTGTTTATGGATGTATAATCACTGTCTACACATACCAGCAGATATTTAAATGGAAAATGAAAATTGTAGTCAGCTATACAGATGCTTTCTCCATGAAGTCAAACATCTGGAGCTACAAAAACATCTGGATGACTGACTAGATTTCTCACTTCTTCAGATTTGGCATCATGCACACATAGAGCGGATTGCTTTGCCTTTGTCAATAACAGTAGTAAAATGCAGTAAGAACCATGCTATCAAGCAGCATTGAGATTACTACAAATAAAATCATTCTGAATATTATTAGCTTTTTAACACTGAAAGTTTATTTAAGCTACTGTGATACCTTCTTATACATGGATCAGGGTTACTTTAAAACGGAAGTCTTTGAACTACCACATGTAATGTTGTCGCAGTATTGAAAACAATGGTCCATAAAATATTTCTTGCTTGTATGAGCCCCTAATAAAATGTTAAAAATATATATATATATATTTCTTGAGTGTTAGAAAGTCATCCATGTTATATTTAAACACAGATCAATATAGGTATATATTGTATTTTGAAAGATAAAATGTAGACATGGGCTGAATTTAACTGATAGTTTGACCTTATGTATTAATAATTCTAGCAAATAAAAATGACTGAAACATGAAAGGAAATACCCCAGTGTCACACAAAAACTGTGAAATAACAATTCCTAAGGTTGTTTTTCCTTACTAAGTATTTAGTATGGATAGCTAGTCTTCTAAGTACTTCAGGACACATTTAAGTATAATAATAACCTCACGCGGTAGGTAATGATTATTTTCTGATAACCATTAGGAAAGTGAAATATGGAGAGATTAAGAAACTTGCTCAAAGTCGCAGTGCTGATGCGTGGCTGTGACAAGCGCTCAGCTCAGGGAGGCTCTCTGTGAAGCCTGGGCTTTTACCCACTGCGCTCTGTGCTGCCCAACGCAGCTGGATGTTGAAAAGTGATCTGAAAGCCTTGACCAATCCCTTCCAGACTTGCAGCAAAAGTACAGTTGACAATTACTTTGTTCTAAAAATGCCTCCTTTGTTTCCTCAGAATACAAAGCCACAAGCTGTTGTATGCAATCTTTTTTTTTTTTTTTGCAACGAACAGCTGCTCTGCTCTGCGCAACTTCCCACCAGCATGCCAAAACATGAATAACAATTCAAGAGCGGAATTATTTTGGGTAACATAGCATTTGACAAGAGCTTTGGTAAACAAAGAGTTGCCAAATAGCTAACATATCAACACTTGGCTCAAACTTTTCTTTTTTTCCCCTCTGCTGCTTATTTTAAAAGGTGCAAACTGTGAAATGGAAATTGATGGCAGTTGGACACAGCCCTGCCTGAATGGTGGGACTTGTCAGGACGTTTTGGGCAGTTCTTTCTGTGCCTGTGCCCCTGGATTCCAAGCAGGCCACTGTGAACTCCACTTGGATGAGTGTCTGAGCCAGCCGTGCCGCCATGGTGGGCTCTGCATGGATGGAGACAACAGGTAGGATCTCACCCACATTTTGGTGACTGGCTTAGAAAGAAATCATTGAACAAGAACTGTATCTCACTCTGGAGAATTTGGAGATGTCACATTCTCAATATTTTACACTTTACATAAAGCGGTGGCATTGTTGAGATTCTACTCCAAAATGTATTCTTGGGAAGTCCAAGTCCTCTGGTCCCAAAAGTAGGGTCGTCCAGGTCACTTGGTAGGGGTATAAGCAGTTGAGCACTTCACTGATAATCAGAAGTTTGGAAGTTGGAATCCACCCAGAGGTGCCTTGGCAGAAAGACCCAGTTGAGTGGTTATGACCCTTAAACCACGTAAAGCAGCTCTGCTCTGACATGGGTTGTCATGTCACAGGGTTGTCATGGGTAGAGATCAACTTTTGGTTTTGGTTTCTTATATAAGGTTAGAATTGCCTTTATTGATCCAGACTCCTAGCTTTGAAATTCCATGGGATAAACCTGTGAAGATAGAGAAGGGATCAAGACACAGCTAGAGATTACTCTACATGTGAGCATAGGGTGTATCTACATGGCAAGTACGTAAATCAACAGGTGAAAAATGAATCCTTTAGACATTCTATATAAACAGCATTGTGAAGGACAATTGTATTACATGAATTATGTCTTGAATGTCTAGTGTTTGGAGAATTGGAGACTTTTGAGAAAGTAGAATAACAAGAGGTAGCTCTCCGATTCTTTGTTGCTGGTTCAGGCAAAACCAGCAATAATAAATTACACTTTAATATGATGATATAATAAATGTATGTAATAGTAGTTGAGTTCACATGAAATACATAAAGGGGAACATTCTAGTACTTATTCAGATTACAAATACTGAATTATCAAATGCATAAACATTTTAACAGCATTAAGCACTTGATGCCATCTTGCTATGATGGACATTAAGGTTCTCATACCACAAACAAAGAGTCTAAAATTCAAGGGAGTTAGGTGTCTCCCACAAAGTTACACAGTTAATTCTCTGGGGGGGAAATAGTGACTAGAATATCTGCTTTTATTTAATAAATGAGATAGAACTCATCTCCAATATATTTTTTAAGTGAATTAAACTTAAACAGGGAGCAATCAATAAAAGACATCTGTGCTCCAAACATATCCAACAAAATAATTAAAATTTACATAAAGCAATGCAATTGTTCATTTCTTTTGTTAAACACAAAATATGGCTTTTAACCACATACCATGTCCTGCCTCTGACTTTTAATTATGTCTCAGTCATGCTCCAGAGGCAGGACCCAAACGCCCGGAGGTGTGTAACCAGCTCTCTCAGGACAAAACCAGAATGGAAGTTTTCCCCTAAGAACCTCAAAGGACCAAAAGGAGAGCCCCCATTCATGGTTTCCTGTTTCCAGAAAGCCTCAGAACAGAAATTGCCCAAAGCTTTTGATTGATGTGGAAATGTAAACAAGCCAAGGCTAAAACCTTGTCACATTTGATTCTCCTCACTCGAATGTGAGGAGAATAATGGGCTTGTTTTACCCTTTTATGTTGTTAGGTGCCCTCAATTTGGTTCCAATGATAGAGACCCCATGTGACAGAGGAGAACCACCCACAGGGTTTTCTAGGTTGTATTCTTGGAGAGGAGCCTTAGTGGCAAAGTGGTTAGCACACTTCAATGGTAACCAATTGGCATTTTTAACCCACCAGCCACTCCATGGGAGAAAGATATATGGCAGGCTACTTCCATAAAGATTTACAACCTTGGAAACCCAGTGGAGCAAGCCATACACTATCCTACAGGGGCACCATGAGTTGAACTCTACACACCTACAGTTTGCTTAGTTTACAGAAGCAAATCACCAGGCCTTTCTGGTGGAGTAACTGGATGGGTTTGAACCACCAATCTTTTCGTTAGCAACGGAGTGTTTAAACTTTCGCACCTCCAGGGCTCCTTTATTTTACCCTTATAGTCTTAATACATGCTATTTGTTTTATTGAATTGGGGGAGGAAAGTAATCACAGAGACCCAAATGTGGCAAGACTTTATTTTCCTACAACAAAAAGCCACAGATTAGCATATTTACTATGAAACATTTGGAAACACGAAACAAACAAAATAAATTCTTGCAGACCAAAGGAACTATTCAAATTTGTCTCCAATTTTAGGAATTGAGGTCTCCTAGTCAGGAAGTGAAAGAGGCCTCTTGACAGTGACTCTATCAATAAGCATTGGACGGCTAACTGCAAGGTAGCTGTTTCAAACTCATGAACCACTCCATGGGAGAAAGATGAGGCAGTCTGCTCTTGTAAAGATTACAGACTTGGAAGCTTTATACAGGATCATTCTGAGTCTGAATCGATTTGATGGCTTAGACTCTGGTGGACAATGGGTGACACATTGACCTGCTAACCACAAAGTTAATGGTTCAAACCCACCAGTTACTCCATGGAAGCCTTCTGAGACTGCTTCCTCCAGTAGTGATTGGCAGTGATGGAAACCCTAAGGGGCAGTTGTACTCTGTCCTATAGAGCAGCTATCAGTCAGAATCCACTTGATGGTAGTGGAAGTGGAACATTCAGGAAGCGCCGTGAGTAGAGGCCTCGAACTAATATCTTATAAATAGTAGGTTTTAGTAACTATCTTTAGTTGAACAATTAGATGTGAATAGAGGATTTCTAACTAGCAAATCATACAAAAATTATAGTCACTTGTTATATCTGGCTATATTTCAGATATTAGTGAAATTCTAATACCTGTGAGGCATACTAGATTAAGTATTCACCTATTTTTGGAAAGGTTGGAAGTTGGCAGAAAGGCCTGGTTATCTGCTCCCCAAAGGTCACAACCTTGAAAACAGTGCAGAGCACATTCTCCCTTGTACACCCAGGGTTCATCGTGCATTAGAACGAACTCAGCTCCACTGGCTTGGTTTCAGACACCTGTGCTCAGTGGTAAGCACATGCAGTCACCGTGAACAGGACTCCAGTTGCTCTCCTTCCCCTCAGACCTTCATCTCAGTAGTCTTCTGGTGGCACAGACAGTTAAGTGCCAGATATTAGATGAAAAGTTACAAGTTAGAACCTGATCAGGAGCAGCTTGGAAGACAGTCTGGCTCTCTGCTTCCAGAAAATCACCACCCGACCACCCCAGGGCACAGGGGCACTCTGCCCACGTGGGGTCCCAGGAGTTGGGAAGAATTGACTCAGTGTCAACTCACAACAAGGACAGCAGACTTCACTTCTTCTAGACTGAGCACACTCACCTGTGATTTTATCTACTAGCCACTGAAATCAAAACCCCACTTAATAAAATCCACCCCTTCCCCCATCAGCTCTCTCTCCGATAGCTGTCAGATAATCCCAATCACTCAGCAAATGATTAGAAATTCAATGCAAAAATATTCCTGTGATCTAAAAGTAAGAGAAAAAATGTAAGTCATAATTGATTTAATGAGGTATGTACTGATTTTGAAAACAATTTCTTGTTTCATTTCATAAAGAGCCTTATTGAGACTTATAAATAAAAGAGTGGCATAGTAGTATAGTTCATTCTCTACAGCCTTTGAATATTTTAATGACTTTGTTTATTGCTAGATGATATCAATTTATTCACTGTCTTTGATGCTTTAGATATGGGGCTTTTTTTTTTACATTTAATTGTCACAATAACCCTCTTACAGGAGTATTATTCTCTTCAATTTATGGATGAGAAGCTGGAGGTAGATGATATGAGTTCCAAAGAATATTACATGAAACTGTATTATAATATGTAAAAAACAGATAATTTTTTTCAAGTGATAGGACATAAATATGAAACTCAATGCTTTTATAACTATAGCGATAATTATCAGGGTTTTGATTTAAGTGTTAAGACTGTACATGGATCCCAGGTTTATAGATAAAGAGGACAGAGAAAATAATTTTCCTCTATCTGACCAAAAGTTGACATGAAAATTTCATTTTGCTCTCCAGATATATCTGTAACTGCATGGGTATTGGGTTCACAGGGATACACTGTGAGACCTGGATGCCTCTATGTTGGTCAAAGCCCTGTCATAATAAGGCTCCATGTGAGAACAGCTTTGACAATTACACTTGTCACTGCTGACCTGGTGACAGATGTCTTCCATCAATTTTTCCCCCTTATAGAATAGTAACAAATCTTTCCTATAAAGCAGAAATGAAGATTTCTTGTTGTTAAAGGTTCAGAACCATCTTTCTTTAGTGATCATTGTTTAATTTAATTGTATTTTTCAGTGTTCACACATACCTACTGATATACTAAGGACTCCCTAAAGCAGACTACCAGTAGACCCAATGATTAGAACATTTTCCAGGAGAGAGAGCACAGGGATGGGGGTGAGGTTGTGGAATCAGTGGAAAGATAAAATTCAGCATCTTTGCAGAGAAAAATAAATCATAAGTAGCTGCTTACTTTGCCTCGAAAATATTATTTTAGACATCTGGAATGTATAGAAACCCAAATTAAATAATGATGACATCTAAGAGACTTGCCTTTTAATTCATATAGTTGGTCAATGTGACTTTCATGGTACCCAAAGAGTTTAGAATGATGTTCTAGAAATAAGAGTATTCTTCTATGAACACATATTGTTGATGCCTGCATAAGAACAAAATGGTATTTAATGATTAAGTCAATAGTGATGTTAATTTTTCAAGCAATCTACTTGACATATTTTAAATTAAATTGTTTCTATGATTTCATTAATGGAAATAAAAGACATCACATCTCCTCTCTCTTTTTTCTTGATCTACTGAAAAATAAATGATAAATTTGTGACTGTACAAAGTTTGCTTGCATAAGCTTAGAGTCCCTGGACGGTTGCAAATGATTAATGGCTCAGTGAGTCGCTGTCAAATTGAAAGTCAGGGTCCAGCCCGAGTTATCTCAAAAGAGAGGCATGGTCATCTACTTCCTGCTCCAAACAATTGCCTGTGAAAGCCCCACAGAACACAGTCTCTGACACATCGGAGTTGCACGAGGTGGAAGCAACCCAGTAGCCAGAGGGCTTCCAGCTATCTAAGGGTACTAATCATCTGTCTCTGTCTCCCTATTTGCTTTTTTAAAGGAAAAGTAGAATCTGGTTGTTGAGGAGGAAACGTGGAAACTGGAGTCACTTGGTATGGTAGTAGATTCTGAAAGAAAGATGTCCACTGCTTAAGGGACTTTTCTTATTTTTTATTAAATACATATTTACAGGTAAAAAAGGGAAAATATAAAAGTAAGCTCAGAATTATTTTTTGGCTTAGAAATCTGTCTATGTCATGGGTCCTTGCACTTTCACAGAATTCATTAATATATTTACTATCCTCTGGTTGTTACTTGACTTAATTACTATCAATTTTCCAAAATAAATTGCTACAAATCTTGTCAACAGCCCACACCCAGGGAGGGCCTTTGATAAAAGACAAATAATGTAATGGACAATTTGGGAGTGGGAGAAGTCCACACATTATATGAGTGAACTTGAATGAATTACTTCTTAGACTTTAAGCCCCACAACGGCTGTTGGGTGCTGTTGAATTGATTCTAAATTACAGAGTCCTTATGTAACAGAGTAACACATCCCCATTGGGTTTCCCAGGTGGTACTCTTTCTGGAAGGAAATCACCAGATCTTTTCTCCTGCGGAGCCACTGCTGAATTTGAACTGCTGAATTTGTGGTTCACAGCTGCATACCTAACTGTTGTACCACCAGGGTTCCTTTGGTGAAAGTTAGGCACTCAAAAATGAGCAAGTGTTACTAAAAGCAAGTTCTATATCAGAAGGTGTGAATTTGATGGACTCAGGTTCCTACTATATCAGGCAAGCAAAAAGGCATGGTCAGTCCTCCTAAGAAGCTGAAAATCTAGCAAGGAGGCAATGTACAGAAAGGTATACGGTGCAATGTCAGCTATAAGAAGAAGCTATGACGTCTGTGAACAAAAATCAGGAGAGCACAGTCTCCAGTTATCATTTTAAGACTTGGGGGATGACTAGGCTTGTGCTCAATCACTGACTGACATTGGACACGTTCTTTTCAGCTATGCATCTCAGTTTCCTCATCCCTGTAGATCCTCAGATGTAAAGCAGAGATGACAGTAATATCCATCTCACGGAATCATTCTGAAGTTAAACCTCAAATAACATGCATGAAGTGCCTATCTCAGCTCTGTCCTTTTGAAGTCCTCAGTGAACACTAAGTAGATACGAAAATTCGAAAGGTAATCATTCTAGGCCTTGTGATTAACACGTCGTAGTGCAATATTTATTTAAGGAAGAAGAGAAGAAGGTGAGTAATAAAGAAAGAAGGAAGCAGCAGAGGCAGGTATTTGCCCATCAAAAAGAACATGCTTCATTGTGGAACTTGAGTGATTGTTCAAACCCCACTGGACCAGATAGGCATAGAGGTAGAGAGATAGAAGTGGGAGCAATACTGAAATCAGAGTGGGAGCTGACCTTTCTAACCTGAAATGGTTGGGACAGGGATCTGACATAATCAGACCTGTTAAATTAAAAAGAGCTTTCTGACTACCATATGACCCAGCCAGTAATGCCACATAGATATAAGCAGAGACTCAAAAAGAGATGTGGACATTAATGTTCATTGCAGCATTATAAACAATAGTCAAAAAGTAGAAACAGCCTAAGTGCCCATCAACAGATGAATGAGGGGGGGAAAAAAGGTGGTCCATACATCCAATAAAGTCCGTAGGAGAACTAGATCATTGATATATACTAGAGGACATTACATCTATTCCTTAGTTATTGTTCATCTTACTAGCCAACACTTTTCATTTATGACAATAGTGAAAAGCCTACTATATGATTATTTTGCACATTTGCAATGTCATGACGGCAGTAGAAAATGCTAATATGCTGGACAAAAGCACGGCTGGCTGCGATGGTACAGATCATGGGAACTTTGTTGGTTTCTCTTTCACTGCTGTCAGTGCTGACTCATAGTGACCCCTCTGTGGGTTTCAGAGACTGTAACTGTTTACAGGAGTAGAAAGTCCAGTCTTTCTTCTGAGGAGCTGCCGGTAGTTTTGAACTGCCAAACTACACAGATCACAGCTGAACACGTAACTACTATACCACCACAGCTTCACGTCTCCATGGGTTGGCAATTATGTAATGGTGTAATTCAGCAGCTATGTAATGATGTAGTAGTCAGCCTCAGTTTTATGATCTTATGCAGTCATCCTCTATTTTTGCATCATGCCAATTCTTGCAAGGCAATTTGATCTTTGGAATTTTGTCATGTCAGTAAGTGAGAGTAGATGTATGCTGAGTGACATAAGCCAATCCAAAAAGAACAAATATTGTATGACCTCACTTATCTAAAAAGTCAAGAAATGTAGAGAACCAAGTCTATTAGTGGCTACCAGGGGTGAGAAGGAGGCAGAAACAAAGGGGGATGCAAAAGTCGCATTGATTAATGTGCACAATCAGCAAATTAAACTTTAAACACCTCAATAACAAAAACAATCAACCCTAATAGATAATTACTGTAATAAATTGTACACCTGTGAAAGTTGAATTGGCAAAAGATGTGTTATAGATACAAAGGACCTTCAGAAAGATTGTGGAAAAAATAGGATGGAAACATCATGTAATATTTCCTTGAACTTTTTTAAGCCTGTTTGTATTTTACAACAAGGATGAAAACTAGATAGGCGGAGTAGCTGCTGAAGTTGCTTATGTACAATCAGATATCTCGTTTCCTTGATTTGTGCCTTTAGCGTCCTGGGACCCCCCAGTTAATAGGCCTAGTAGCATATTCGTGCTTCTGTTTTACCTTCTGTATCATTACATAATATCTGGAATGTTAATAGCTAGTAAGCAGCCATCCAAGATGCAACTGGTCTCTATTCCCTGGAACAACAGAGGAAGAAGACAAATCAGAAAACAAAAAACTAACTAAAAAACCTGAGACTACGGAACATGTGGCTGATTGTCTACTAGACGAACCGACTCTATTGCTTTCATACTAGAAGCGCTGGATGAATATTTTCATCAAATATCACATGCAAGAATCTTGACCCAAAAGGGGAAAATGAAGGACACAGTGTCAAATTCTGAGGGACTCTAGACTTTTAAAGCCATTGAAAACGGCTGAACCGCTGGAACATTTGCCCTGAGATCAGCACTGAACCTTAAACCATCCTCAAAGTGAGCAACAGTTTAGTAAGCTAGTTGTAAAGGTCTGTCTTCAGCACTGTATTTTCTTTTTTTTAAGAAGGTCTACATGGGATCAGATTGACAAGAACAAATTGAAACATTAGACAGTCACTTGAGAGGGCAGTACGTTTATGATAATAAAGAGGGCAGTACGTTTATGAACAGCTAAGAAAGGAGGGTGAGAACAGTTTCACATCCTGAAGAACGTGAGGAGTGTCAGTGAAACATACATGTGGAAAGCATTGAATTGGTGGATATTTTACCTCGCATATTCTTAACAATAACACAATAAATATGGTTTCGAAGGAGAAAAAGATTTCTGGCATGTTAATGGGAGGTGATTGAGGGAAACAAAATGTG